AAGGGCAACCCCTGCGCATCGCCGCGTCGTTCGCTCCCCTCGTTGTCTCCTGCATTCCTTATCTCTTTCGCTCTTCGCTCTTACTGCTATCTCTTCCCTTTCGCGCTCTCTCTCTTCACTCTCTCTCCTCGCTTCTCGTCTTCTCGGCTCGATCACACTCTCTCTCTCTCTCTCTTTCTCTCATCCTCTCTCTCTCCTTCTCTTGCTCTGCTCTTCCCTTCTACGCTCGTCTCTCTCTCTCTCTCTCTCGTCTGCGCAACTCACTCTCCGTCGTTGTCTCTCTCTCTTCTTTGTCTTTTCTTTCTCTCGTCTTTCCGTCTCCCTCCCTGCTCTCATATCTCTCTCATCTCTCTTTTTTCTCTCTCACTCGTTTCGCGGCGCTCTCTCTCTTTCTCTCTCTTCTCGCTCTCTCTTCCCCTCTCTCGCTCGCTCAATCTCATCTCTCTCTCTCTCATTCTCTCTCTCTCTCTCGATCTCTCTCTCCTCTCTCTCCTGCTCCTCTCTCGTCTCTCTTCTCTCTCTCTTCTCTCAGTACCCCCACGTCCCGAATATCGTGACCGTACGTCGAGCGGTTAAGATTTGTGCCCAACTGTTGACGGACGGACGCTCGGACGGACGCTCGGACGGACGCTCGGACGGACGCTCGGACGGACGGACGATCATGCGATTCTACAAGCTGCATCTGACTATGTCAGATGAGCTAAAAATATAAAGTAAACAATATCAATTATGTATTCTAAACAGTGTAATTTACTAATTGTTTGAGATTCAATATAAGTAAATTGTGTCAAGGAAGTGGAAAACTTGTAATGGTTATTTCTCAATGTTTAAAGATCTGTGCCATATGATTCTTGGATGGCTTGGTTCAATGCATGGCACTATCTTTACTTACGCTGTTTGTTAGAAATCCAGACTAAAACACCCCATAATACATTTTATTCATTATAATCTAATGTGAAAGTTTATTTTACTAATTCAATAATAACATTCATTACATCAGTTCAAAAAAATAAATTATGCTCAGTAAAAGTTACATATTATATTCCTAAAGTACATAGAATAAAATGTGCATATGTGCTTAAAATATATATACAAAAATGTTGTACAATGTATTTAACATGACTTCACTGCTTAATTAGCTTGGACGGAAAATACAGTTATTTATCATTTGAAATGCATATCACTGGGGTTCATAATGCTGATCAGGTCAAATACTCGGACAACTAACTATTCATCGGATATCATGTCGTCAAAACTGGAATTCCTAAATGATGTTTTTAAGTAATGAACGAGTGATTCATAAATGATGAGAATATAAACGATCGTAAGAGAAGATCTCTACATTAAAAACTATACTGTCGAAAAAATGACATGTTAATTGACTGTGCCTACAACAGTGTAGACTACGTGTCAGGATATATATACAAATGTATTGCACATATTGTATTCACTACATTAGCCTACATCTAACTAATACCACTTGGGTGACTTTGTACTAGAGCCATGACTGCATGGCAAAAGACAATAAAGTTATTTACGATATTCTATTATGCATTTTAATGATGAGCTGCTCGCTGAAAAAACAACTATATAACTACACAGAAACTTTCTCTTGACATCCCACAAAGGGAGAAACCCATAAATTCCCATCAATGCTTGTATATGGAATGTTACATAACTGAAGAGTATGTTGGAACCTTTGCCTTGATGATTGCCAAGCACTCCTGCATCGAAAATCACATTATACATGTTATATATATATATTAATAACAAAAACAATCCCTGTCAAAAAGTTTATAAATATGTCAATCAGAAGATTTAAGATTCTACACATATTGGGAACAAGTGAACAAGTGACAATGACACTACATATGCTATATATGGCACAGAGTAACTCCTATATTTCACATAACAAAAATGAAAGATAATCAACTATGATCAAAAAGAAGATGATCAAATACATGACTGTAAGAATGCTTGAATTTTTTTTGAGATAACAGTAAAACAAAATGCCAATTTAAGAGCAATTTTTGGTAAGAACGGGTGCCTATGAGAAATGATTTCCTATAATTTCGATCAACATCACTGTCATCTATCATTTATAGTAAATTCCGAGACTGAACAGAAATTCTGCTGTCTAACTTTCGACCCCACAGTACCAATGCAAGTTCCTTCTACACACATGTCCATGGTACTGTCTTATATCCAGCAAGAGCTAACTCAATATAAATGCAGGCAAGCTGTACACTACCCATCAGCAAAAATATTCATTACACACATACCTTCCCTCCTGCAGTTTCTATGCACTGTAATGCTGTCCAAACCTTCTCACGAAAGGTATTTGTCATCATTCTTTTTGATAACTGACATGGATTAAAAAAATTCAAAATTAGAAACAGTCACTGGAGGTTGGAATCCCTTGAAAAGAATGGTACACAGCCTCTCCATTGTATAAAAGCTGAACTACCTGGCAGTAACCAATAAGGCTAAAAAGGATGTCTTCTATATTTAACATCTAATTCTAATAATAAACGTTCAGAGGTTTTAAACAATTCACTAATATTAGTCAGAAAAACTGTGAACAACTAAGTATTAAATAAAAGAACTGGGACGCACGCACGCACGAACACAGACAAATCATTTAGAATTGTCACAAAATGTGCTAATGCTGAATCATTATTAGTCTTAGAAGTTAGAGTAAAATAGTTTCTTACTGGCATTAATAGATTCTTAAGGTGAGGGGTAAGTGCTGGGCCTACACATTTACTCAGATCCATAAGAGCCTCTAGAGTGCCCTCAAACACTCCATCATCACTGTGCATCTAAAACAGAAAAATATTACCTTTTTTGTTTAAATAGTCAGATGACGAACTGTGATCAAATATACTATATATAGATATCATCTATCAGTCAAGCACAATTGCATATTAAACAGGTCAGGAAAGAAACACACTACATTAAGCTTAAATGGTCAAATGGTCAGTTATGCACCATAACGTTGTTGGGATATTCTTAGTTGATGAAAAATATTGAATTTCCATATAGTATTATACTATTCACACTGTGATGCACAAATAACAGATTTACCAAATAGAATTTTAACACAAGTTGCTACTTAAAATGTTACCCGAAAAATAGCATTGCATGTAGTTATGAATCAATACAAGCACAATTACCATCGAATACAGTCCCGAGTGGCTGTTATTGATATTTGATATTATATTCATACGTGCCCATGTATGATGAATGCTTTATGGTAAAGGTACTGAGAACTATACATTTAGAGTATCAGAAGACAATTCACAAACTTTTAAAACAAGAATATATGAAACACCTACAGTCATATAACCTTCATGGTATTTAAAATTCAACATTTTTCATTCCAGTATATATATTTACCAGAGCAAGCTTTATAGGTTGGATGAGTTTTGGAACAAGTGGGGTGGCCTTCTCTTTGGCCCCATCAGCCCGTAGCAGTTCACGAAATCCTGTCTTGGCGACAAAGTTGTACGGGTGCTTAGTTTCCCTAAGGCCCTCTGCTAGATATACAAGCACAGGATTGAAAGGTATCTGGTTGAGATGGGTGCTCCACGATATCTTGTGCTTCACATTTCCATGCTCCAGTCTAAAACACGATAAACACATACACACACGTCTAAATGTTTATTTACTTTGAAACCAGAATATAAGCTCGAAAACTATTTTTATCAAATGCTCTCAATGATAAAACTATGTGAATGCAGATAAAACCAACTGGGTGTATATTCACAGATTACTAGGTTAATTATAAAATCTAATTAGCTGCATAACTGACTCCAGGTCAAATTTTAATGATGTTATCACACTTTTCTAATTTGCTACCTGCAAGGGATGTCTCCACTGGAGTATGTTGCAGCGAAAGCACTCTTTGGCTTTGATGCATCTGCAAACTGAAATAGTGTAGTGATAAGTGAGTTTTTATGAGTGGGGTTTCTACAAGAAGATACCTTCTTTCTGCAGAGATGTCGCCCTACAAAAAATAAATTCATCATATACAGAAATCTAATTTGTTCTAATAAACAGTTCTTTTCCCCACAAAAAATATCACACAGTATCCATGTACAGACCCGACAATGCCAATGAGAAGCAATTATGTACTTAACTGATGTATACATAGATATTGTCAGTTTAATAATTCGTAAAAGTTGTATTCATTTATGACACCAATTTTAGTATAACAAATGAACCTTGGTATCAGAAGAATATGTGTAATACTACAGATATGATCCTGGTACTATGAGGTTCTGATACAAAGCAATTTACTGGATCAATGGTTTTTGGATTTAGGCTATCGGAGGGGCGTGGTGCTTTCTTAGACGGAGCCTTAGGTGTGTCCCCAACACTGCTGCCACTGCCTCTGTTCTTTGGTAGTCTGGCATTGCTTCTCGATGTTTTTTTAACAGTAGCTGCAGCTCCATGCAGGGATGGTGCACTCTTGTTCGTACGCTGGGAATGAACAACCACTCCTAACCCCTTTGTGTTGTCGTCGGAAGATTTACAGGTTGTGTCTCGTGACATTTGTACCTAAACATAGGGGAAATGCAAGAAAATTAACAAAGAGCGAAGTGAAATTTCGTGTACCTATAATTATATAGGGATAGAATTAGATTTTCTAGAGGAAATTAGTATTGCCTTCAGTTTAATTAGAAATATTAGAGCACCATGGCAATTAAATTAGAAGTCTAGAAGGGGACCAAGACAAATATTTCTAGTGAAACAAGAAGATCATGGACAATTTCCTTTTAACAGCATTTGTTTATAAGAGGCAAACACAGATATATACCTGTGGTGTTTATGAGAATGGCAACAAAACATACTAAATAAGAAAAGCAGTGATGGTTTTCTAGTGTGGATGTAACACAACTTTCAGGGGCATATACCATGAGAAGCTATTAAAGAGGGAAACTATGGCACCAGTTGATGATGCTACAGTGAAATTCAAGCCCTTTAAATACAATTTTTCAAGTACACATCGTTAGATGTGTACAGCTAAGTCAACTTCATCTAGCATAGATATTTACCATAACTGCATTGTGTTAGTGGCAATATATCTATGCTCTCTATGAGAATTGCCATGCATTGAATGAATAGTGGCGACATGGATTTTGTATTTCTTCTCCACCACTCCTAGCTGCAGCTTTGTGTGTGCATGGTTACAGTTGCTCTTACCAATTAATCCGGCCAGGCTTTAGGACCATATGACTATGGCTGTATGTCTCAAGACGTGAAGAGATACGGTCACTTCACACTTGAGCCTGAGGTCTGACCATCGGTGTAGTCTCAAGCTAAAAAACATGGACGGATAACATATTTATAGATTATACTATAGCAAAAGTAAAACACCACAATGGCATAAGTGTAAATACGCAATACAGCCTGTGTAGACCTATGCAATGAAATGTGATTATGAACTTGATCATGGGATTTGAAATAGAATCTTTGCGACCTGGATAGCCCCACGTTTCGTTAGACGTTACGTATGGTGATCCAGTCTCTTTTTCTCTTTTTCGCGCGAGTCTCAGTGTGGTAATCTTGTATGTTTTAGATTCACCATATGCGTAGCATCGCTGTATGCGTAATGACAGATGCAATAAAGATTAAGAAGCAACAGAAGCGTTCTTTCTCATTCCGTACACAACAAAATCCATGTTTCACTTGTTGAATGAGCAGTCGCTCTCGCGGTTCTTACAGTTACAGATCCATGTAAATCTTTGTAATAAATAGGGTGCCCAAACTAAGGCTGATAGAGGTTATGTCCCCCAGGGTACTATCGGAGGGTACCCTGGGTAGGCCTACAGTTCGATATATCAGAAAGTACCTCGGGGTACTATACGATATGTCGCTGCGTACCCTGCATTGTCCCACCGTACCCTGACTTTCAGCCAACTGATGTCGTAATACATACACTCTGTCAAGTTACCACATCACACAGAAGAAACCTCAAAACATCGCAATCCAATAAAAATGTATGCTATTACCGCGTTCACACGGTAATGGTTTGGCTCGAGCTAAATGGCCTAAATTTCGCTCAGGCTAAATTTGGCTCAGGCTGGTTTGAGTCGGAGCGTTCACACGTACGCAAGTGAATAGGTACTGTCTGTCAAATTTAAATTCAAATTCAAATAAATTTTATTGCACAAATATCTCACAGATACTTTGGCAGTATGTCGCGAGATGGCATTGTGTACGATTCAGTGTTTACTTACGTTCCGAGTTCAATTATCAATCTTGAAAAATATGCATCCTGATAAAAAATTTCGAATTTTTATACCGTTTTGGACTTTATTTCGTCGAAGTACACGTTCGACACTCGCGGCATCTACCGCTCTACTGATTTAGCTGGTGCTAAAATTTGGCTCGAGCCTGGTCAGACGTTTTCGATGGGACCAAATTGGCTCGTGCTAACTCGGCACGGCCCCGAAAAACGGTCCGTGAACCCTCGGCTCGAGCCAAATTTGGCGCGGGCCTAATTAGGCTTGGGCTAAAAACGTCCGTGTGAACGCGCCTTATGTTTGACTAAATTTTTCTTTTTCCTTTTTTTTAAACGAAGAGCTAGCTTTTATATTTAAGTTTTACAACATCGGAAATACGTCGGTTACAACTACAAGCCAGGGTAGGGTGAGACAACGCAGAGTACGCAGCGACATATCGTATAGTACCCCGAGGTACTTTCCGATATAATATCGAACCGTACCCAGGGTAACCGGGTACCCTCCGATACTATCAATGAAAGTGTCAATGACACTGTAGCTCACCACAAAAAAGGACACAAATGAGTGAGTAAGAAGAAGTCAGTTTTAATTAAGCAACCATCGACGTACATTATAGAAACGATTGCCATCTGTATATCGCAATAATAATTTATAAACCAAAATAAATCACAATTTGTGACTGTAGATGGCGCTATGCCCGCTTTGTAGCGATGGCGTTTGAAATAAATAGGTTATGCTGCGTTCCGACATGTTTTGTGAAACTTTACTCTAATATAGACGTTTTATCGGCCGGGGGGAGAGGAAATACCAATTTTGCATTAAAGATATTGTCAATTAAATCTTGTAAAACGAACCAGACGAGTGTGACACCACAGACTGTTTGTGTGTATTATATAATGTGATACTATAATTGACCAAACGCTACCTAATTTGCCATCAATGTTTTTTTAAACTATCAAAACCGCCCTAGCCATTTAATTCATTCACAGTACCAAACATGGGGAGCAAAATCCATTGAACCTGAACTGGGGACTAATGGGCGCAGGTATTCCCATTTTTTCGCGCGAAAAGATGCCGTGGGCTTGACAGTGGATCGTCGACTAGCGACGCCTTCAAGGAAGTAGGACGGTTTAATATCAGCGGAGAAAGTAAGGAGCAATGTGCACAGTTAGTCCCGAAGGGGGCTACTAAGGTAACGGGTTGTGTTACTAGCCTTCTTGGTTTTCCAACTAGCCCTTCAAAGCATGATGTTCGGAGTAGGTGGGGGGTGCGCGCGGCGGGAAAATATGACGTTGGATCTCCACGAATGCCTCCGAGGAATGTGCTTTGGGCTGAGGGGTATGTTGGTATTGTTTTATATTGTGTCATTAGTTGTTATCTAGGGAGGCGTTTGTTTACATTTACAGATGCATGTTTATTATGTAAAACACGCCAGGGTTGGGTGAGGACTGTGAGTGTGACCTTATAACACTGGTAGTGTAGTGAGATACAGTAGTCTTCCGATTGATGGAGGTTGCCATGCTTGATACCAACGCTATAGACGGCGGTCCCCTCGAGGCACTGCTACCATTTCGTGCTATTACATGAGGAAGGTAACGCGGGCTTTGAGGACGGAGCGAACGCACGCGCACGCACGCATCGCACGGCACTGGCAGCACGCATCGCAACACACACCACATCCACACGACACAACGGCCACGGGTTGCAACACAAGAACCGTATCGGAGCGCGACGACCGGCGCGTATACAGGCGACGGCGACAGCGACGTCGGCAGCGACAAACCGTCACGCACACCACGGCCGCGGTCACGGCCACACACGGCGGGGCTCAGGCGCACACACGGCGCACACACGGCTCAGCGACAGCGACAGCGACGGGGCGCGTCACAACGTCGCTCACGGCGGGCTGCACGCCGAGGAACGGGTCGCACACACGTGGCTCACGCAACACTGTCGCACAGGCTTCGAATAAGTTGACGAGAGGGCAAGGCAATTTTTTGGCGGCATGTGAGACAATTGCCTTGAATTATTCTACTAAAACTGGGAGTGGCGCGCACGACGCAATTATTACAAAGGCATCAAGGTACTCTCACAATGGAGGAGGGCAACCAAGGCGACTTTTGTAAAATAAAGGAAAAACCTCATAAACAAATTAATACATCACCTTTGGCTAATGGAATACGAGTGACAGGCGGTTGAAACGTATAAACTTTTTATTTCACTAGACCATCGGCTATAACTGAGGAAAACCGTGAATCAGTTCCGTATTATATTTACTAGTCCCAGACAACCATTATGTGGAAACGGGGGGGTGTCGATGATGAGCACTAAATTTCCTCTAATATTACGTGCACTTAGCAAGCTATATCACACCATACAGATCACAGTCTGGCCATTCTTGGCGACGCGTTCGTTCTCCCGGCCGCTTTAAATCGTAGTACGGGCCGACGTCAACGTGCAGCAGGGTTTAAATATTCGTGTTCTATTCCACGGCATACACAGGCGCCACGATTTATCGATCGTTACTGCAGCGCGTTCGGCAGCAAGCCACGTTACGCGTTATTGATTTTTAAGAGGCGAAGGGTGAGACCAGAGGATGGAATCGCTACGCGCTGTGCTAGGACAATGTATACCGCTCATGCGAAAACAGTGCGGCGCGAACCATGTCTAGCCAGAGGCACCGACGGCAATTACAGAAAAGGGCACAGGCAGGTCACTCGCCGTCGGGTCGGGTTGGATTTTTCAAGGCAAGTTACGGCGATTGATAGGGGCACGACGGCAAATTGCCAGTCCTGGTGCCGTCAGTTATCCAAGCCCTGCCGTCGCACACACGCGCTCACGCTTCAACACATCGGCCACACAGCGTGCTCACGCCACACACATCCGCACACACGTGCTCACCGCACACACGCCGCTCACGCACACACCGCGCTCGACGCACACAGTTACACACATCGCGCTCACGGCCACAACACACATGCTCACGCACACACGCTCACGCAGCACACGCACACACACGCGTCACGCACAGCACGGCGCCTCACGAACACACCGCTTTCACGCCGCTCACGCACACACGCGCTCACCGCCACACACACGTCGCACTACACGCCGGCTCGGCGCACACACGCGCTCACGCACACACATGACCACATTACGCGCTCGACGCACACCATGACACACACGCGCGCTCACGACACACGATCATGTTCACGAAATTACGAAATCATGGTCTGGAATTGTTTCACCTTTGCTTGCCCGACGGGCAAGCCACCCTGGCTTTAACTAGCCTTCCAAACAATTATAGTCCGGGCTACGGGCCTACCGCGGCTGTAATTCGACCCTGTAATATCGGGGAGGCATACGGAAGTAACGAGACTGATACCAATTTTAAAAACAGTGGTGGGTCAAACGGTTCCTAGTTAGTGCGGTTGACCGGTAGCCGAACTGTTTCGTATATAAGGGCCAAACTAAGTTTTGCACCAGTTGATTTTATAGATTTTTCTATAGATTTTGCGAACCTTCATACCATATATATCAAGGAGTGACATAAATGATTAATAGGACAGCCTACGGCGGTGCAAATCTACTTTAGGCCACCTTTATATCACGAAGTGATCACAGCATTTCTGTGTAATCCCCACTGATGCCACAGACGTTTCGTTTAATGCCTATATATCACAGGATTGATGCGACAACATGTTTTAAACTGCCCACAATCCAGCCATGCTCAATAAGCAGCCACCTATCGGACAAAAATTACGACATATGTATACACGTTAAAAAATTATGTTGTGTATTTTTATGTCTATTATATGATTTATTATTAATTACCAATTGTCACACTATTGTTTATTAAATCACATTATTAATTACTAATTACATTGTTAATTACTAATTACACTACCTTAATTACTAATTACACTCACTTAATTTACGAGAGAGGAAGCAGGAAGCCGATGATGGTTAGAGGGAGAGAGAAAGCAATGATGGTTAGATGGAGAGAGGAAGCCGTAATGAGTAGCCAGGGAAAGAAGAAGCCCATGATGCGTTAGAGGGGAGAGAGGAAGCCTCATGAATGAGTTAGAGGGCAGAGAGGAGCCATGATGTTTTAAGAGGAGAGAGAAAGCCTCCGTGGATCGTTTAGGCAGGGAGAGCCATGGAAGCCGTGCATTAGTCTATAGAGAGAGCAGAGGAAGCCGTGATCGTCTAAGAAGGAGAGAAGCAAGCCATGATGGTCTAGAGGTAGAGAGGAAGCCGTTGTTGGTAGAGGAGAGAGAGAAAGCCAATCGAGGCGTTAGTGAGAGAGAGCAGGAAGCCTATGAGGGTTACGAGGGAAAGAGGAAGCCGTGATGGTCTAGAGGCGAGAGATGGAAGGGGCGAGCGCGTGATGGCTGGAGGGAGGGGAGCCATAATATAATACACTATTTCTTGTGGATAGGCGCGTGAAACATGAACTTGATTGTTTTAAAGCCGCCGAATCTGTGCATGATCTCGTAGATGTACACTAGTCTCTGTGCCATCACCTCCGTGATGTACACTATTACTGTGCCATCACCGTGCGGTAGATGCTACACCTTATTCTGCTGATCACCTCGGTGAGTCGGTGAGGAGCTGATGCTGTTGTGCATCAACCGTCTAGTGTACACTATTCTGTGCATCATGCCCTCGTTGCATTACTATATCAGGTATACAGGTGCGCTCAACACTGAACTTGTGTTTAAGAGGCCAACTGGTGCATCATCTCGAGTACACTATCTCTGTGATTCACCTCGTGATTACGCTTGTCAGGAGAGAAGAAGCCGTGATGGAGAGGGAGAGAGAAAGCGCGGTGATAGCGTTAAGAGGAGAGCAGAGAGGAAGCCTGAGGCGTTAGGAGAGCACGAGAGGAAGCAATGAAGGTTAGAGGGAGAGAGAGAGAGTAAAGCCATAGAGCGTGTTGCGAGACGAAGTGAGAAGGGCCATGCAGCGGTTTAGAGGTGAGAGGAGGAAGCCGCGTGCGTGGTGGTTAGCAGGGGGAAGCAGAAGCCGTGATGGTTAGACGGGGAGGAGAGAAGAAGCCCATGATGGATCTCAGAGGGACGAGAGAGAAAGCCATCGGAGGGTTAGAGAGAGGTTGGGAAGCCATGAGGGTTAGAGGGAGAGAAGAAGGAGCCGTGATGGCTTTCCTCTCGTCTCTCTCTAACGCATTCACGGCCTTTCCCTTCCTCTCGTCAGGCCAATGTCGCACACCTTCCCTTCCTCTCTCAGGCAGCATGTCCGCGCTTCCCCCGTCCTCTCTCCCTCTAACCATTAACAAGCTTCTCTCGCCCTTCTAACCATCATGGCTTCCTCTCTCTCGTCTAACCTCATGGCTTCCTCGCTTCTCCCTCTAATCCATCACGGATTCCTCTCTCCCTCCTAACCAATCACGGGTTCCTCTCTCGCTCTAACCCTCATGGCTTCTCTCCCTCTCTAACCTCTCATGCGCTTCCTCTTTCGTCCCTACTAACCATCACGGCTGTACCCTCTGCTCCCCGAGTCATAACCGAGTCACGGCGCCTTCCTCTCTTCCTGACAAGGGGTAATCAGGCGAGGGCGATGCACAGAATAGCTGTAGCGATCACGACGATGAGTGGCAGCGAGTGTGGCTCTTAAAAAACGCAAGTTCAGATTTACGCACCGATATACCTGACAAGTATCACGA